AATGGCAAAAAGTGGTCGAACAAAATGGTACATATGTATTTGTTTATTTATTTATTGGTATAAATAGAAAAAAAGTTGAAGTTTGATTAGAAACACGAAAAGACTTTTTCGACTACCCAATATATCAGAGATAGGACTTCGTACTAAAAAAATTGTTTAAACTGCTTTCYCAATTTACTACAGTTTTATACGTTGAGGACGGCGCTGCTTTTAGCAGGCAGTTTCATYTTATTGTGTGACCCACCGGTGGATCGCGTCTTCCTCAATGTGTTAAGTAGTCGTCAAAGTTGTACACCAACAACGAGTATTTTCTTCATATTTGAAACTCTTTATTTCTTAAAGATGTACATATTTATTGTATATTAATTCTTAAATCATTATTGAAAAMAGTTATTTCTGTTTATGTAAATCCATAATCCTTTTTTTAATCTCTGGGTTAGAAATTTTATTGCTCGCCATTATCTTTATCTAAAGATAAGTGCTTTTTGTTGAGCAATTTTTGCCTTGAGCACAATTTTATAGTCATTAAACTATTTTTTCACGATTTTTTTCTATTTAGTGATGTACATGTATGACTTACATATGTATGTGCAATGGGTCTATACTATTTTAAAATTACGTAGTGTTCAGTAAAAATATAACTCACATARCGATATGATAGCTACTTTCAAAATCCTAAATTCGACTGCAACGAAATTAACAGGTCAATTTGGAAAGTTTTTTGGCAAAATTATTATTATATTTTTTTTTTTATTCAACATGGTTGCCTTTAAGAATGATGTACTGATTATAGTAACCCCCCAAATTTTCGATAGCATTTTTATACTATTGCTACCAGTTCCTACAGTTTTGCCGAATTAATGGATTTCACTGCGAAACAGCACTGTCCATTTCTTCAAATGCGGTCGTTTTCCGGCAATTATGTCCTTCAAACGGACCAAWAACACTATGCAATAGTCGCAGTTGATGGTYCTTTTATTTTAGACACCATAACCTTGCCTTGAYTACTGCGTTTTCACACGCTTTAGAGAGAGTTCAAACTGTGCAGTTCATTCGGATGACTGTCGAYTGGAGATCAGAGTGAAATGGTGSAGCCATGTTCTAATCATTGTTACATATCGATGGAAAACCTCGGAATTATTAGGTTTGAKCATCTCCAAATACTGCTTCGAATCATCAACTCATTGCTGTTTTGATCCAAAATGAGCTTGCGCGGCACGCACTTTGCACAGAGCAGTCTCCTACTCAAATATTCGCGAATTAATTAAGAGGTCATTCAAAATTAATTTGTGGAATTTGAAGTGTTCGTCGGTAACAACCTGTCAACTGCGTTTACCATCTTCGGTGCTCATTTCACCATATCAAAACTTAGCATACCAATCCCAATTCTTGATAGCCACGTTTTTTCTTTTTTTAACGGTATTTTTTAATAGTTCGCGTATTTATGGACAAATATGGTTAAAGTAATTCAACACGTGACAAACATACCCAGTGCGGGTTATAAAACTATAATTCTTTGACATGCTTATGTATATGGATCACATTTTTTATTATCATATTTAACGTTCGTGCAAATTTCGAGAGGGCAAGAACTGCGCCCTAYCTCAGCAAATCCTTACTTCTTTATAATTTTGTTTCTTTTGATTGAACTTCAAATGAGCTTCATGAAAATCAACTAGCTAAACGGCACTGTATATTCATTCTTATTCAAGTGGAAATTCGTCGACATCATCCTCGTTGTTACTAGTATGAAAAGTCAGAGCTTTCATTCACTCACCGGCTGATAACGGTGAAAGCATCATAGCTGAAATAGGCGCCAGTATCGTAAATTAGTTTCATGACTGCAATATTCATATTTTATAGCCACTGCTTTGCCTTATAACATCCATATAGATATGTACATCAAATTATAATTCGCAACCCTCACAACGCTAGAATGAATGAAAGCTTCAAGCTTTAAGCGTTCTCCGCGATTCCTTCCCTCCTCCTCGGTGCTTCGAACATTTGGCGCTACTATCAGGCGTTGTGTACCTCCGCTCCTCTATTTAATACCCGACTMCACTTCAATTCTTCGGTTTCTCTGTTATCCAACCACTTGTGCTGCTCTACTCGTAGCATGCACTTTGACTGTGCTCTCTTGTTGTTAATTTCTTGTTCTTCTTATTGTTCGGTATTACCAAGCGACAATGAAGTCAAGTGGAATTAAGATTTCAATACCCATTCGCTTGAGGGCGTTATCCTTATTTTAGCCTAGCTACTATATACCTATATACGCGCAGTTGCTCAGTCATCCCGTTGTGCAGTCATTCATTTATTTATGTACAAGCATTTAGCTGAGAGCCTGTATGGCGTTAACACGCCTTTTAAGCACCGCGCTGAGATTGCCGTTGCCGTTGCTGTTGCCGTGCACATCAATGTAACTTATGGTTATCGCCATTGTTGTTGGTGTTATCACTGTTGTTGCTGCTGCTGCTGTTAATGCTTATGTATATTTTGACTTATAGATTATGGAATTTGCTTTGGTTTCCCCCACCAAGACGAACGCTGACGCTCCAAATTTCATATCCAATCGTCAGCATAGTTAGCAGTCTTATCGCTATGTCAAATAGCTGCTTTTTCCACGGCTAAGCTTTGGTATTTATTTATAACTTAGCGGGAGAATAACCCTTCAACCTCCATTTTGTAAGTTCAAATGGGAATAGAAATACTTGTAAACACAGAGTTTGCTGTGCTCCGTAAGCGCACGCGTATATAAACTTAACAAATTTATCTTTATTGACATTAGGAAAATAAATGATTTAGATAAATAGATTGATGTACTCACCTTGAAATTCCTTGCGTGCCGCACTCACCGACGTTACAATGTTCGCCACATGACCCAACACCGTCGCGAACAGCATCAGTCCGAATAGCAATTGTAATATCACAAAGACGTATTCACCCTTCGATCTGGGCTTCGGCAAATCCCCGATCGTCGTTAAAGCTAACGTACACCAATAATAACTTTGTAAATATTGTTTAACTACATCGGCCGATTCGGAGTCATGATAGACCCAATTTCTCGAACCGAATCCATTGTTCTTATGTATAATATGATACAGACATCCGTTCCAATGGAATATCACAAGTAGGTAGTGTATCAACGCTGTCGAACGAAATAAGTTCGGATAGTTTGTATGTCGTTCGGTACGATCCATAAATGCCCAAAATCTATAGATTTTCACCAAACGAAATGAACGCAATATCGAATTGAATCCGATTGATAGATATAAAAAATCCAATGGCAGCAAACATAGGCAGTCAATGTAGAATGTTGTCGAATTCATATAGTGTTGTCGCAATTTTGTCGCATCGGTTTGTAATACACCATCCTCCAAGTAACCGGTACGAAAGTGAAAGAATATATCTATGAGATATAAAAAATCGGAGAAATAATCGAGACAAAACCAAATGGCAATCGTTCGTCGATTGATCTCTTGAAAGGCGAAACGATAGATTATCACCCAGAAATTATAGAGGAACGCTAATGATACAACCATGGACCAGTAGTAGCATAGACGCCCCGCTGGATCGAACACAAAGTGGAATTTACGCGAGGCAGTGGCGGCACGAAATCGTTGCGAGGCGGTTCGATGTGGTTGCTGCTGATGATGTGRCGCTGCGGACTGTTGTTGTTGTGTAGATGATAAATGTGMTGCATGTGACGGTTGATGGTGTGCATGCGACACCGACGCCGAATGGTGTAGCTGATGCGACGATTGATGCGATTGTGAGGGGCCGCTATGCGGCGGGGCAGTGGTCGTTGAGGTACCGGAACGTGAGCGGGGATATCTGCAAAACGAGAGAGTGTGAGAGAAAAATTTAATTACTAATTTTGTATACGCTCAAAAGCTATTAATATGAGCTTTCATTGAAATTCACTGCATTTTAAATTACGCTCATACATTCACCTGTGAGTTAAGCTTTATTGCATGCGCAAGCTTTCATGTGTTTTCAGTTAATCCTTTTGTTCAATGAATTTGCAGCGAATGTGAGGACGTGTTACATATTTGCGTATAATAGACATACCAACTGCTCTATATTACAAGGTATGTTTGTATGTTTATTATATTATGTGAAGTCGTATCGACTTTTCTATAAAAAAAAGCGGTAAGTGAATAGAAGCTGTAAATTTATAGTGGATTTAGTGCGCCGCGTTAAAATATTGGAAAATTGCATGCTTAGCATCGCTTTTGAATGGCGGAGGTAGTGGAAAAATTATTGAATGTATGCACGTGTATGTTATAAATATGTCATGGCATAAAAATATAGAGTAGAACTATTTTGCCTAAACCGCTAGATGCTCTCTTAAGCACTACATTGACGCCGGATGGGATCAGTAGGAGAGTAATTAGATTCATTAATTCATAACTGGTTCGAAAGCCCTGAATATACAGAAAACGAAATTAATAGCCGCTTATTAGACCTCACTAATCATTTACAATGATTACTAGCCGATGGTTATTTCACCGCAATATACTTTGTTACTTGTAAGGTAGTTCGCACCTAGTTTGGCTTCTGTAAACTCATTTACTTAAGCGAGTAGTGCTGGTGTCATCTATAGACAACATTGAAACTGGTTTGGGACCTTAGTAAAAAGGTCGGAATTTTTAGTTAATCTATTCTCAACTGACTTATATAAAACCATGTCCAAAATCTGGTAAAATATTTTCTTATACTATTATGGAATGATTTGCATATTGTGCATATTTCCTAAGGGGTTGGCTGGCCGCTCCTTATAGCTTCTATACGAGCTTGCGTTGTGTGATGCCTTAGCAACATAAATTGACAGTTACGTCAATTTGTTGCCTCTCCAGCAACATAGTGAAACGTTAAGTGATTGAGTAAGAGAGTAAGTATGTAATAGTGAATTTATATTATTATACGCCTCGGGTGAACACCTCAATCGTGTATATATGTGTTTATCTATAAGGAGATAGGATGCATAAGGCAATGTGAAAGAGACAGTGTTCGATATCATTGGCAATGAATTTCCGTACAAAAGTGTAGGTAAAACTTATATTTTCGAATCTCGAAATCGAAATACCTACCGATAACCGTAGTCGAAGCAAAATATATGTACCCATTTATACACATAAATAATTAATAACACAATTAAAATTGTAATGTAATGCTCACCTATCAGTGCCGTTGCAGAAATTCCCGCTAAATTGATTACTCCCCGCCAAACCGCCGGCCAATGTGTTGTCTTGTGAACTGCGCGCCGTCGCTGAGCGTTGCCACGAATCGAGTAACGGTTGCTCGCCGGACATCGTTTTCAGGCGGCCGCGAGATTTGCGACGCTGTTTGTTGCTGCTGTGCAGTAAATCCATTTCGGAGGCAGTGCTTACAGTGGCCACATGTGGATTGGAGGCACGTGATGCGCATGGTGTGGCGAGGCTGTCGTGTGATGTGAAGAAACCTTGCTGTGAGACACTCTGACCGAATTTCGGCTGTGGCATGCTAAATTTCGATCCGAGATCTGTAAGTGAGAACAGGAGACACACAGTGTTCGTTTAATCRTGGAAATTTTCCTAAATTTTAATAATAAAATTTCACTGTGCTGAAACTTTTCCAAGCGAAGTGTTTGGGGTTATGAAGTATGGATTGAAATTTCATCAGTTATTTAATAGCAACTAAGTGTTATTAGAGTGATGTGAATAGAGTAACATATAACTTATGGAGCAATAAAACGAAGTATTTAATTTGGTATGAATTTTATGAAGCGAAGAAAGAGTAAATAAAATAAATAATATGGGAAAGAATGGGGACAGGCTCTTAATCGTGTCGGTTAGTTTAGGCAGTTTATTAATTGCCTCAATTAAGACATATCCGAAATACTTATGAAACTAAATTAAACGAAATGAAATGGCATATAATTAAGTCAAAATCCTTTTCTAAATTAAATGGTGACAAATGCAGAAATTAAATTGAGTGGTAAAATACTCGAATTTATAAAAGGTATTATTAATAAGAAAAATGCTAACCTCGGCTGCACCGAACCTATAATAAACTCCATATTTAAGGGTAAAAATATAWAATAAATATATTTGTATTGATTAKTTTATGACAGCTATATGCYATAGTGGTCTGATCTGATCGATTCCTTCAAATTTTGTACCGTTGCCTTGGACAGTAGTCCGCGCCAAATTTCGTAAAGATATACATAYATATGTATGTAATTATTATTAAACATACTTGGTGGATGGTGCCACTAATAGAAGTTCGCGCAAGTGAGGAAAGTGCTCTGAGTGCCATTTACTTGGGAGAAGCCAGGAACGAATCTTTTACACAAGGGAAGGCAGCTTACTACCTCCGGTCTGAGACTAAGTATCCTCGTGTAGCCAAGAAACAGCCGTTTAAAGGCGACAATTCCCTCCTCATGGTTGTGCACTGGGTTTGGTATTCGCCCCGAAAAAACAACCCCGAATGAATGGAACAAAACAGCCTCGGATGGTCGGTCGGTCTTTTGGAGGTTCAGTGAATTWGGAGGAAGCGGCTGCGCTGGCTAGGCCATGTCGATGAAAACACTCCAGCTCTGAGAGTATACGACGCAGTAACCGCCGGGGTAGGCAGAGGAAGAGAAAGACCTCCCACTCCATTGGAAAGACCAGGTGGACAAGGATCTGGCTACATTTGGAATCTCCAGTTGGCGTCAAATAAAGATTAAGAAGAACGAATGGCAATATCTATGGCAATAAAGAAAATGGGGATATAGTTAAACAAAAAATTTGTCCATACAAGAACTTGCTTTTCATCTTTCATTTTGTACTATGACAGCTACGAGTATGTGCTGTTGGAAGTGGATATCGGTGAATCCGATTACTAAGGGGCTTCTCTGGGACGAACGGATAGGCCAAATCGACCCAGCTCCTCTTGCAGATCATTCATCTATATACTTTCTAAGGTCTCTGACTTTTCTTTTTGGCTGTTACAAACTTCCCATACTATTTTCGGAGTATAATTATAATAAAATGTGAAGAAATGTAATACTTGTAGGCGCTCTTATAATACGATTCTTAAGATTAAATAAGATGAGTTGGAGTATTTCTAGTGAAACACTAATATGAAAAATATATATAATATTATATAAGCTTTCTTGTTTTTAAATTGAATGCGTGAAATGAACTTTGAGCTTAATGAAAGCTTTCCAATGAAAGCTCTTTAATATTTATCTCACAACRAATGCAGGGTAAGATGATGCTTATGAATATGAAGAGTGAATGCTTTTAGCCCCCACCCAGCTTTCAGCTAAACATCACAACACACTAAAATGATTACAACGCTTACCAAGAAAGCTCTGACGATCGATCGAGAAGCGACGCAGACTACCTAAATCGATATATTGCTCATCGCCCGTTAGAGTCGGTGTAATCGATAACTCTGTKGTGTGAAATCCCGTATTACTTTCGCCACCACCACCAAAGCCGCCGCGACTACCACCCGCACCCACAGCACCGCCTCTATTGMCACCAGCCCCGCTGCCGCCTGTACTGAAGCAGCCCAGCGTGTTGCCATAGAAACTGCCATCTAATTCGGCCATTTGCTGCTCATTCGCCGTCAGCGGTTGTATCGAGCGCGAACTATGATCWCGGTAGAGTGGACGTGGCGATGGCACCAAATGCCGCAAAGTACCGTTCAGCGAGAGACGTGGTTGCATTATCTCGGGATAGCTGGCACGCGGTCTTTGCGAGGGCTGACGATTGAGTGAAAARTAATTGCGTGGCTGCAAATGTGAAGAGGGYCCCGCGCCACCACCACTGCCAATGCTCATGCCACCAGCGCCGCCAATGTTTTTGCCAACAATATTGTTGCTCATTTTTAAACGCCGGATCGATGCGGTTTTGGCTTTGAATATCACTCTTTTAGTTTTACTTTTAATTGCTTTCGCTTTGYTTGTGTGCGGCGCTGAACGCTCCGAGTTTCCGGTTGCCGCTTGATTATCGGCATCCGTTGTTATTGCTTCTGTTGTTKTTGTTGCTGTTGTCGTCAAGTGAGCKTGCTTCGGCTTGCCCAGCTTATGTGTATGGCGTTGCCACTTCGACGCCGCTTGACCACTTGCTTCCGGTTCGTCCGCATCTAAGATCCGTTGCTCATCATCGTGACTATGAAAATAACCGGAAATTGGTGAAGTTGGTGGTAAGTCTATTTAGTTGTTATATAGTTTAGTTGTTGTTGTCGTAATCATGRTTGTTGCATAATAAAATATGTACGAGTAGTTTCGGGTAGCGATAAATGGTATTATTTGGTGCAAACGGAGTAGGTACAAGCAAAAGTGGGCGGGCAGAGAGGCGGATGGGCACACATGAGCGCGTTTGTATATAAATACGAAGGGATTACGTTTACAAGGTAGTGCAATGGCATTGAAGTTGTTGAACCATACATAGTGAGATTTCATAAGACCGTGAAAAAGAGAGAGAGAGAAAGAGAAAGAGAGAGAGAGAGAGAACAAGACAGATGTACAGGTGAAATGGTTACTCAATAATTCAGTTAACTGATTTCTGCTAWGCAAAAATACTCTATCTACATTTAGGTATAAGGTAATCACAGTAACAAAGTAAAATCACAGTAATAACGGTACAACAAAACCATTCGGGTACTATGTAGGTGGGTGCAAGCAAGTTAGGAATAGGTGTACAGTGGGCTTTACTAAACACTTCAATAAATRTTGAAATTTTTTCTTTGGTTTTTTTCCGACGATTTGACAAAATCCYCACACTTTCGGGGTGTTTAACGGGTAACAGATGACTAGAACATATATAAAGTAATAACAACAACAACAAGTGTGGAAACAGCGCTTTAACTTTGTGGTGATAGCGGTGAATTTGGGCGGTTGCTGGTGGTAGCAGTGGTGGTAACAGTAATGATGGGAATGCTAGTGATCGAAATTATGGTGGCAGTGTTTGTGGTGGGTTCACGCAAATTCGCAACAGTTTAACATGAAATACAGTTTATACAAAACATAATGGGCTTTTCGCTAAATTTATTTGCAAAGTGTATTCGATARTCGAATGTTTTCATTGTCACATATTCGATTAAATGCGAATCTATTTGCTTATCTCTATTGATTTGCCAAATATTTGACCTAAAATTAATTTGCTCTCAAACTAAGCCATGTCAATAACAACAACGTGCAAGTTTAAATGTGATWCGGATTAAATAAACAAAGCTTGAATAACAGTAAATTAAAATTTGTGTAGTAAAGCGCACACACRCATATAGACAGGTATCTGCATTCATACAAACAATAAGAAATATACGTATGTATATTTAATAATTTCTCTCCGTTTCGCTCAAAAGCTCACATTATTATAATTAGCTTAATGAGAATAATAATGTTATCTGAATATTATTTGCTGTATTTTATGTTAGATATGTTTGTTTTTAGAGCCAGTAATAACTACAGCTCCATTAAATATTAGTAATATACTCAAATTATTATTTAAGCACTGCAGAGATTAGCTTGGCGACTATTAATGAGTTCACCATGTCATTTTGTATTTTAATTAAAGTAWTTTCATTACAAAYTTCTGAAATCTATCAAAAAAGAATAATGATTGGACTTATTAACGGTAAGTTGAATTTCTAAGTTATTTGGATTTTTCGAGCTTATAACTTTCATTCAAAGCATKAAACAACCTCAAATCAAAAACATAACTTCAAAAACGTCGCTCTTWTTTAATTTAATATAGTTTAGGTTAATAAAAAGAAAAAACGATGAGTGAATTAGCTTTGATTTACAAATTTAATTAATTGCGGTACTATTTCTGATAAAACAGGAACGGAAATAAAAGTATATGAAGACTCATATATCCAGTTGAAAACTGTTACTTCAGCAAAATTCTTCACTAATTTTTTAATATATATTTGTAACAACAACAGGAAGCTTACTTCAGTTTCTTATTTGCATTTTAGATGACGATACACAGAGCGTTTCAAAGTAAACAGGACTTAAATAATGATTTATTTTATTCAAAATAGTCTATTTCTGCTTCAATAGAGCTTTTTGCAAGGTCCAAAACCGCCAGTATGGCGGTTCAAGCCTTTTGCATGGTCTCTAAGTCTACACAACGCTTTTTTCATGGGTAAATTTTTTCCGAAAAGGAAGAAGTCGCACGGTGAAATTAGGTTGACAAAAAAGTCTTGCGGTATTTTCGCTAGTTGGCGCTGAGAGCGCGTAGTTCTAGTTTTATTTGTCGCATCGGGTCATGCTATACCTTTTTGGAAATCTCATTTCACGCGCTAACACGTGTTTGATTGATTGTCGTCGCAAACATGGAGCAAAATAAAGAGAAAATACGGCATATTTTACAGTACTACTACGATAAATTCAAAAATGCATCTCAAGCCGCCAATAAAATTTGGGCAGTTAATGGATCCGATACAGTTTCCATTTCCACTGCACAACGATGGTTTCAACGTTTTCGTTCTGGCGTAGAGGTGGTCGAAGATGCGCCACGCTCCAGAAGGCCTGTCATCGAAAATTGCGATAAAATCGCTGAATTGGTCGAAAGAGAACGGCTTAGTAGCAGCCGTAGCATCGGTCAAGAGCTGGGCATGAGTCATCAAAAAAATTGTATGAATAATTGAAAATTCAATAAAATACCGCAAGACTTTTTTGACATCCCTTTTTCGAAGCTCATTTTCGCACCGATAACACAAACATACTGACACTTAAAACGCAATAACTGCACTTCCAATCAATGAAATTTCATGAAATTCTCACTGGACAATTGATTTATTAATAGCATATTCCAACGCACCACTCGACATATACATAGATCGCGCCACCAGCGGACACTAGATTAAAAAAGTTCTGTTTATTTGGAACGCACCTTGTATAAAACGAACAACTCTATTAACTGGACAGATGGGCTGTAACCAGACATTCTGAAAGCAGCCTTAAATTCCCTTTTATCGAATGAAATTTATTTTTATGAACATATTCAAAATTAAACCTCAAGTACAATCCCTTGGATTCCTATACCGATGAGAAAGTTTTCATCTTTAATCGTAAATAAAATTTACGATATTACGATTACGATTTATTTATATTTAATAGTTTTTTATTTAAATAATAGTATAAAATATATACCACAGCAACGAGTGGCCGGATCCACTAGTATTTATATAACTGCTTCTGATAGCTTAAGCATACATGTTCTGTGCTTCTGGGCTTCAAACAAATCTAACCGAAAATAATGCTATTCCATAGTGAGGCAAGTTTCGTTAAAAGCAGCCGGCTAATGGAAATTATCGTAGATAAATAAGAGAGAATAACATTTTCTCGCCTCAAATAACGGTTGCAATTGAATAAGGTAAATCTATAAGTACACATTTAGGCATTTTAGCTGGGTAATTTGAAACTGATATAGCTCAGAGCCCGCACTTACACCCACACACATAGGCGTATCTGTATACGCATGCAAATAAATGGATTTTCTGCGAGAGTGTCGTTTTTTTTGTTTCAATTTAAAATTCTTTCCCTTTTTCGTTTATTTTTCCTTCTTTTTCATCTTTTTTTCTGCTGCGTTCACCTGCAGGGTTAAGCTCAACAGCTTGTCTTCGGCTTGACTGCCTACAACGCCCCAGAGCAATTACTCTGTAGGTATGTGCGTCTGAACATTTGCTCGAATGCGATAATTTTCGCGTTGCGTTGTTTACGCGCGCACACACTGCCATCATTAAATATTTATTTAATTTTAACAGCCTTGGCAAGATGTAGGCGCATTCGACATTAAACTGGGGGAACTTTACTATCCCAAAAGTAGACACACAGCTAAAACTTATATGTTTGTTTGTATGTGTTTACTAGTCTATGCGAGAGCGTATGCGAATATGCTAAGTGAAATGTTCTTACCTGTCGAAATAAGAGTAAAGAGCGGGTGGGGGTGCCATTAAATAGCTGGCAAACAGAAATAAACACGGCTTAAAGCTGTTGAAAGCCAGGTAGCTTTAAATTGGTAAAATGGCTCTTTGGGCCTGAAATATAATACCAAGAAAATTGAATACCATGAGAAGATAGCCATATTTTAGACGATTTTATATTTCGTACAAATCTGTTTATACAGAAAGATTGTTTTTTTTTTTTTAAGGAAAGGGTTTGGATTGGTTTTTGTGTATAGAAAAGTATGTTGGGGGGCTAGTGTGTGTTGAGATAGTTGAGTGGGAGAATTTCGTTTATACAGTGCTTGTATCGGTTCTTTATCTGTAAAGAGTATCCTAACTTCGGTTAGCATTTTTGCTCGTTACTACTATAGCAGATAACAGTATTTTTGCAACAAGACCAAGACTTTTTAGCGAATTTTATCCAACATATTATTATCGACCAAAGCAACGAGTTTCTAAATGTTTTATCTCTCATTTGAATCGGTACCTTCCTAAAACAATCACAGTATTATGAGAAGAGTTAAGATATAAACTGAACAAAGAGGATGCAATGAAAATCTTAAGAAGCAGGTTTTAACAAAGCGGTTAATCGTTTGTGCGATATGGGTAAATATGGCAAATTTTCGCTTGGTACTCTCAAACATGTATTCTTAAACACTTTAAAGAAAGTTTCTCTAAGTATGATCTCTTAATTGCAACCGGAAGGGTTTGCGCTATATAGATTTCCCTTTTTGTCTTTTCATCTGATACAAAAATTCAAATCTCCCTATCAACTACTATAAAAAATATCTCATTTCATATCCAAATTATCTACAGAAATTATTTGAACGGACTCGCGAACGATATCGAACTCTTTTGGTATCTCTCTAATACTTGTCTTACGATTTTCAAGCACCATATCCTTCACTTTTTTAATAATTTCATCAGTTGAAAAGGTCAAAGGTCTAGAACGAGGCATATCTTCAACGATCTCTCGACCGTCTTCGAATTCTTTGTATCACTCATGTGTTGTTGTTRTGTGACTTGTGTTTTTGCTAAACCTGAAACAACGTAAACCTTTTGCAATAGTCGCAACAATTCCGCAAACGATATTTGGTTAGAAATACAAAATTTTGATGCTTTTGTAGTTAAAATTTATTGCCAAGGTAYCAATTACAAATTTTGAATATCTTAATATTACAAACTACCAAAATTTTGTTCCACTAACGAAGAAGTACCAATGTACTTTTCATTATGATATTATTTATTCTAACAAT